ATTAATTATATTTAATGTTTAGACTCCATAAACATTTTCGAATATGGAGATATAATACATAGATAGATAGATAGATAGATAGATAGATAGATAGATATAAATATAGATGAAAAAAATCTATTGTTCCAGTTAGTTATCAGCCCTTGCACCACTGCATATTACTTGAATACATATTCTGGTTTGGTCAATTCTGCCTTTTGTTTTTATTTTCCTGATCCCATCCACTCTCTTACACACCTTGTCTGGGTGATGCCTGTCTCCCTCTCCTCACCATCACTTCATATCAACCCACTCTGCAAAATTTAGTTCAACTTTTGGATCTACCAAAACACAAAGAGATGGAAGTCATTCTGAGCATTTCCCTCAGCAGTGTCTGTCGTGACTTGCTGTCACAGCATCTCTGCCTTGCATCTTATTTCAGTTCCACCCGCCCTGTGCTGGTTGTCTGGGGAAGCATGGAACCACCCTCAACCTCAGTTTCTCACCTGAGAAATAAAGATGAGAAACTCTTCTTCTCAGTGTGATTCTGAGAATGAAATCAGAGCACTTGTGGAGCACACTGGACCCAGGTGACTCTTCCTGACTCATGTCACTTTCTTGGATCCTCTGTAATAATTATGAGTCACCTTATGATCTAAAGCACATAACCAAAATTTCTTCAGGTGTCGTTCCTGGAGTGGGGGGTGTCGAAAGATGTGTTTTCTTTTTTTAATCAAAGAGTTCCTTGAAAAGATGAAGTGATGCTTTTTACTTTTTCTCTCACTTTTCCTCTATCTCCCCTACTACACAACAGTGCTATTAAGAGCTTAATAAATTATTGACTCTAGTGATGACTAAGCCCCCCCAAAAGATATAATTTCATCAAAATCTTGGGGAGAGTAGAAGGGGCAGCATGCTGCTCTTGACTTTCATGAGTCCACCCCACATTGCTTTTGTAAAGGGAGCAAAAATAACAACTACAAATGTTACTTCTTCTTTCCTTTACACAAAGTTAAAATCAGTATGGACCTTGTTCTTCTATGTTCTTACATGCACATATCTATGAACTTTCCTCTTAATTACACCTCATAGTGACTGTGGGGACCCTGTCATTGGTGCCCCTGGGAAACATCCTGTTCTTTAGTGATAGAAATAGTGAAGAAGTCCAAGATGATTTACTGATTCTCTACCACCAGAAAATGATGTATCCATTCTATGATTAGCCTGGCTGAAGGGTGAACACCTCACTGGAGGACTTGCACAAATACCTCAAACATTTTGCAAATAGGTATGCATATCTCAAAATGCTTCACACGAACATTTAATGACAATATGTAAAAATGACAACAAAGAGAGATCCTCAACTCTCCCATCTTCGCTTACACCCTTTACCCTCCCTGTGTCCTCCTGGCCCAGTCCATATATTCCCTACAACAATCTATGTGTCTGTTCCAAAGACAGGTTCTATTATTCCTTGGTGTATTCCAGTGGTTCTTGGACCCCAGGAAGTACAAAAACAAACCCACTGGAGTGTGAAAAGAAAATATTACATCTTCTAAGTATTTTTATCACATTATTTGAAAAAAATCGTGACTTAATGGTATCTTATACTTTCAGAGAAGAGGAAGGGGATAGGGGTAAAGGAAGGTAATAGTGAGTGGGTATGTTGAAAGTGTGTTATATGAATATATGTATATATTATATTCATATATATATATATGAATATGCCATAATGAAACCCATTATTCTGCATAATTAAAAATGCACTAATAAAAATAATAAATGCATTCATATGTTAGGTCATATGCTATTCATATCAATTATGGGATACTTGGCCATAAAAAACTGGAGATAACTACCATGCCAAAGACCTCCTCCTGACATAAATTTCCATCACTCACTCATGCACGAACTCAGTTATTCTCAAATATGAACTTTGAAAAGAGGCAAATAGTACCGCTGCTTTGCAAAGTGCAAAGCCCGTCTTAAATTACCCACTTGATATAATCAAGGCTGACCTTCGCTTGGCTGTGTGTGCATTTGGTTTTCTCCCCACCTCTGCTTTGCCTGCACAAATAACACCAGTTTGGATGAGGTGGGGATATTGGCTTCGATATCAAAGAACACATTTCACTTTTAATTGAATGCCTCATTCTGAAATGTATGCCATATGCTGCTGCTGCCTACCAGCTGAGCAGCGGAGATCACAAAGTCTAATGTCAGATCTCTCAGACTCTCCAACTCAGGTCGAATCACATTAAATCTTGTTCCCAGATCTCTGTGAATCCATAGCTCTCCAATATATCTGTGAATTCCTGAAGGCTTATGTTCTCAAGGGAAACATTCTCCAGGCTCCAGTTCCACCTCCTATTTGTCTCCAAGTTTCATTCCAGTATTATTACATGTCCCCTACATCTATGTCCATTTTGTGAAATTCACAGGCATAAAGCATTTGATAATGAATTAAACATCAGAGAGTATTTGGGCACCACAGGACAGGGTGACCCAAACTAAGCAATTTAAAATGATATCTCAGTCATTTCTCATCTCTATATCACTGATTTTCATCGTCCTATACTCCATGAAGTGATCAGCTTCTTTATATCTTATAAGCCCATTTTTTTTTTTGCCTTCCCTTCTATGTTGTCCTAGAAATCCATCCTTTCATTCTATGGTATGAAAAAGTCCAAAAGTTGGCTCTGCACTTACACATACCACCATAGTTGGCAAAGCAAAGCAAAATTGGAATTCTACCTAATCCAATAAGTTTAACAGAAGGCATGAAAATTTCTTCTGTTATGTGGATATTGGACAAGAGAATTGCAGTTCTTGTCTTGACAGCTCTTCTTGCCCAGAAATATATGCCTTTCTACACAACCAAGGTACGCATTCAGCAATGGAAGAATATCACCATTTAAGAACTATTTTGATATTTCCTAGTGTTTAAAAACACTGTGGACACTTTCCTAAAAGAGGAAAGTTGAGTTGGACACCTTTGTCCTATTACACAATGGACCCTTTGGATTTGCAAATATCCATTCCCGCATTCCCAGGGTCAATGGAGGCCCCAGAGAGTCCTTGATCCCAGAAGGCATGTGGGAAGGGGATGAAGTCCACTGGCTTGTCACTTCTGCCCTAAATCTCTCCCCTACACAGGACTTCTTCACCTGCCCCCTCCTCTGCCCTCAGAAGCTGACCTGTTGTTTCATGCTGTCCTCAACTTTCCCATCAACCCTTAACATGCAGCTCAGAGCAATTTCTTCTGCAAATCTCTTATACTAACAGCTGTTCCTGTCCCCCATTCGACTCTACTTGAGTCAGAGGAGAATTCACAACAGGGAGTCTGTACATCTATGTTTGAAATAGGAGCGGAGCCTTATACTCTTAAGATGATTGCAGTAGTTTTCCTTTAAGGGCAATTTTACGGGGAACTTTTAATCTATTATTCATCTTTCTGTATTTTTTTGCAAAAAAAAGTTTTCTATGAGAATAGTAATTATCTTAATAAATAAGAAAATGCAATAGTAAATTACTTTAGTAAGACCCCAGTAAATATCCTTCATCAAGTGTTTGGAGGTCATAGGCTAGGGGCTCAGTGATTTGCTTTTTATCATGCATAAGATTTTTAAAAATTGAATTAGAAATCAATTCAGTTAGAAATCAAGATATTTTGCACATTCATCTGACCTCTTCTGTGCAACATGTCAACAAAGCCCACAGTATCAACTCCCCAATCCCAGCCTGAGATCACCTTGTCAAGCCTGGGCATGCTCTGTCCACTGAACACTATCTCTAGCACTCACTACTGCATTGGTTACATTGTCATTTGGCGTTGGAAGCATTTCAGTTATGCAACTCTGCATGTCAGAAACTGACTTGCTCGTGTACCTCCTTAGGTGAGGGAACCCTGCTGCCCCTTGGAGACCCCTCTTTAAAATCACAGTGCAAAGTTCACAGTGGTTTGCTGCTTTGCAAGTGGGCAGGAGTCTATTTGCAGGAAGGAACTCTCTCCTGCCAGCAAGAAGTGAACTGAGGAGAATGGGTTTCACCAGGTCTTAGAAGAGAAAGGAACAGAGCTGGGTGGGTGGGCCCAACCCTTTTAAATAAGAATCCAACAACTCAGAGCTTATCAAAAGCAAACCAAGCCTGCAGGCCCTTTTCAGGTCTGTGGATCGCCAGTCCACATCCAGGACCTTTCCTCAGGATTAAATGAAACTTAAACCTACTAAATAAACACGGGCACAAAAAAAATCATTGGGAGTCGTTCACCTGACATCAATCATTGCTGCCAGAGTGTTCCTTGTCTTGACAGCTTACTGTAGGGAGGGAGCCCTGGGCTCCCAGGAACAAAGACAAGGAGAGAAAGAAAGGAAAATAGCAACAGAGAAGAAAATCTGTACATGGCAAGCTCAGGAAGGAAATTAAATGAAGGGAGACAGTTATCAACAGGAGGATAAATCTAAAATCAGGCCAGAGGACTTTGTGGTAGACTTTACAATGGGTTCTCCTTCCTCCTTTAATTCAATATAATAGAAAGCTTTGATTTACCAAGACCTCTCTGTGGCAAACATGGTGCTGAACATTTCATTCATTCACTCAATCACTCGTGTGTCCACTCATTCATTCATTATCCCAGGGGCTGGGTATACAATGGTGAAGAAGGCCAAGCCCCTGGCAAATGAAGAAGACAGAAAATAGAAAAGTAATCACATAACTATATAACATTACAGAGTGATACATGGTATAGAGAAAATAAAACCTTATAAGGGGTTGGAAAGGGGGGTTCAAAGGTTTTCTTAGGTCAACAGGTCAGAGGAGACATGTCTAGGGAGGCAGCACTAGCACTGAGATCTAAAAGCAGGAGTCATCGTTGAATGACCCAGGCAGGATGTTCCAGACAAAAGTTCAAAGCCCTGTGATAGACTTGCATTGGCCAATTTGAAGTCCAGGTAGAGGGTCAGCAGGCTGACTTGTACATGGAGTTCTGCCCATAAAAATTCAGTAAGCAGGAGCAGGTCAGAGATACCAAAATGGGAAAACTTAATCTGAAGCCAAGGTACTATTTTGATTTAGACTAAAAGACAACCTTTTTTTTTATTTTTTAGCTAAGTTCCCGATACTTCTAATACTCTTCTCATTTTTCCCATGGGTTTGCCAGATAAGTATATGCACCTCAAGAATAATCAACTGAAGACTGATGGAAGTTGGTGGATGAATACCCCATTTCCTTCTCCTCAGGTGGGACAACTCTGAAGCATGGCATGGCACCTTCCCCCAACAGCCCTACCAAGCCCAAGCCCAGGGAACTCATGGTGGTTACTTAACAATAATAAACCCTTCATTGGCAGCCTTCCCTTCTCTTCCCTGACCCCATGCTGGTACTTCCCAAGGTCACTTCCCAAATAACCTTTTTTTCCTTGTGTTCTTATTTCAGTTTTTAGCGATATTAACCCTGAGGCACTGCCTAATGCACTAACTGACCTTCATTCTTCAGAATTCAACTTAGAAGTTGCCTCTTCATGGAATCTGTCTGATTTCCTCTCTCGGACATGCAAGGTTCGATCAGGAATCTTTTCCACAGGCTCTCTGACACGTAGAAGGTGGCCAATGTTTGTTCATTAATGGATGACGTGTCTCTAGGTGAAAAGCACATGCGAGAAGTATGGCATGAGGCCTCACATATATTCAGTTCCCCAACGGTTTCCTGCAGATGCGTTGCTCCAGCTCCAGTCTGATCTCTGGTCAAGGTCCTCCCCCTTCTGGAGGATATATTGATTAGTGCTCTCTGGGGACAGTTCTATTGATAATCTGGCTCTTCTCAGAAACACACAGCATAAACAACCTTTCAGATTTATCCCAGCCTCCCTTGCTCAATGTTAGCTGTTTCTCCTGGAAATATCGGTTTGGGGAGGAGATGTTTATTACCCCTATGTCATTTCTCAAGCCACGTTGGACACATGAAGCCAAGCAAACAATGGACTGTAACTGCTAAAATATGAGGATCAAGTCTTCTACTTCAGCATCTGGCCTTGTCCAGGAAGCTATTTCTTTTCCTGCAGAGACTTGTGGCAACAAAGTGGACTCCCCAAGTTACAGCATCCAAGCAAACAAGCACTAAGTCACATCTCTACATTTCAAACAAAAGTACCTAAAATAGACTTTTAGTGTTCTGAACTTGAAGTTACTGTACTTGCAAATGACATCGGATTAATTTCTTGGCCTGCATCCAAAGTAAATGGACTTGTGTTCATTGAGTTTTAAGGTAAATGTGTCTTCTGTATATCTGCAATAGTCGAGTGGTAGCAAATAGCTGATAAGCCATTGAGGGATTCATTAGTCATTTTCAGAAGGCTTTTCAACCAGGAGGTCCATCTACTGAGCAGCTGCAAGCACGTTCCCTGGAAACTGAAGCTAAATGAACAGGAGATTTGTTTTCTAGAAACCAACCCAAACAAGAAAAACTATTCTACAAAGAAAAGTGAGGTATCACCTCTGGGGTCTTTGGATAAAAAAAGATGCCCTGATAGCCATATGGCTCAAGTCCACTGGAAAAAATACTGAGAGGGCTCTACTAAATGTCAAATGTGGCTGACACTCTAGGTGGGGAAAAGAATTAGAAAGTCATTTGCCAAGATCTCTCAGTGAGTAGTGACTCTGTACTGAGTTTCCCACATAAATGAAGCAGAAGGGAACCAAGCCAATAGGACCCTGAGTTTCGTGAGGTTGGCTTGTCTTCTATGGCACACACATGAAATGAGACACAAGTGTACAGAAGTGGGACAGATAACCAGCTAATAACGTTCTTTTCCTTTGGCTTCGTGATGTTGCATAAGACAAATCTCAATAGGGAGACTAGTAGCTGAGCTCAAAACCCTGGTGGACACACACATCTATGCATAGTCACAAAGGTTGGGAAACAATAAACCAAAGACAGGAAGGGAAGGAAATGTAACAGAGGGGTATGAGAATATAGTCGGATTCTCCATTATGTGAAGTTAGGTCCAGGCAAAGGCTAGAGACTATAGCAAATGACAGTCCTGAGCAGGTGCTCAGAGAACAGCTGTCTCACACACAAAGCTCATCATATTAAAGCCACTCTGTTTACTGTATAATTATATTTACCTTTAATGTCTACTGGGCATTATTCTTATGTTCCATTGTAGCCCAACCAAACATTTCATTTTGCATGATGAGAAGCCGATTCTTTACTCTCTCCCTACTAAGCATCAATACATTCTTTCAAAAGTACAGATAAATCATGTAAAGGGGGACTATCACTGGATTGAGTTCTGACAGAGTTTGCACTGACATTATATAAACTATCAGGTAAATGAAGTGACAAGGCTAACGAAGATTGGGCTCTTTCCTGTCTGACTCCATGTCTCATTTTAATCAATAAAGCTCTTAGCAAAATTCAAGTTTGGTGTTGCCTTTGTCTGCCTCTAACAGAGACAGAAGAAGAGAGAAGATAAAGCTATGGCAGAGGTCCTTCATGTTACAAAGAACCAGAATGAGTGACCCCCTTCCCTTAAAAATATTTAGTGAATTTGTAGGCAAAGGAGATGCTAATCTGGGAGGATTCTGGAAATAAAGGTTGGGAACCTGTGAAGAGCTGTACTATTACCTGTTGAGGCCTGTTTTAGGTATTCTGGAACAGAAAAGATGACTTGTCTTTTTTTTTTTAATAATCACAATGAAATACCTCTCTTGTTTAATTTTAAAATTTCTGGTTTTTAAATATTTTATATTAACATGTATTAATTGTACATATTAATAGAATTCAGTGTGATATTTCTATACATGCATTTAGTGAGCACTGATCAGGTATTATCAGCATAAAAATATGAAAAGTCTTCTGTAAGTCCCAGTGCAGTTAACCTTTAAGAAACTACCACTTGTATATTTCGGTGTGACATCAACAAATAATATTCACAACAATAGGGAAAGGGTATGTTAAAACCCCTTCTTTTTCATACAACAATCTATATAAAGTCATCTTTTCTTCATTTACTTCAACCAAAATAAAATAACAACAGATTTAATGCAAAAACAGGTATGAGAATCCAGTTATCAATAATAAAGAGATCTGCAAAAATGTAAAAAATATAAAATAAGCCTGTCTTCTCCCTAATTGTGTTTGATTTAGGAAAATTTAGTTATTTACTTAAAAATATATTGTTTACATTAATATTTAGTGGGTTTATTATTGTTATTTCAACATGAATTAGTAAATTTTCATATTTTCTCAATTTCAAGTTCTAATATGTTAAATATCAAACCGAATATCAAAAGATATGGCCCACATAAATAAAAGCTCTCTAGGGTCTTAATTTTTAAGACTCTAAAGAAACCCTGAATCCCGAGTTTGAGATCCTCAGATATCCAAATTCTTATTCAACTTACCTTTATGGTGGGACTTTAGGTCTACCAAGATCTGTTTGTCACCTCTAATCATAATAATAAATATGAAGATCTGAAGAACATCTTTGGGGAGTCCTAGGAAGAATTTCTACCAGTCTATCAGTCAAGCTCTAAGCTTAGTCCCTTGACTGGAATCAGCCAAGATGGCACAGTGGAGCAAAAGCTTAGTATTATAACTATTTATAAACTATTTAAAGTATTATAAACTATTTCCTGAACAGTCCCTTCTACTTTTAAAAAAGTGTCCTCTAAGATTAGGTGACTGTATCAGAGACGTTCAGGCACATAACATACCCCAAGGACATCCTTCATGTATAGTCAGTCTCCTTCTACATGATTTCTCTAATACCCACATGCAGATGACAAAACAAGCCAAAGAGTCCCCAGACTTGTTCTGCAAAAACTAATCCATGGCAGGATATGCAGCTCAGATTCTATCTGCATCTGTTGGGATTCCCTGGGGTTGGGGAGTTGGAGGATGTGCTGGCAGGCTGTCATGCCCTCTACCTTGGCCAGGCACAGCAGGGAGGAGCACCTCATTTCTTGGCTCATTTATGAAGTTTAGAGCACAATGTAGTATATGCCCCATTCCCACTGATTCTCAAATTTTTGTAGGATCAGAGCTTACAATTCATCTTTCATTCCCATACCAGTTACTATTGCTTCCTGGAGTAAAAGAAATTTTCCTAAGTACAGCTCCTATATCTAATGTAGACAAAAAGCTGAAAGATTCCCAACTGTAGAAGCTGCATTTAAAGTTGGAGATTCCAAAGGTGTTACTAGTCATAACCTGAATGCTCAGCATTGTCAATAATGGCTGTTGACTTTGGTCAGCTTTGCCAAGACAGATGTTCTGCTCCTCAAATATGCTCATGTCAAGAAGCTGCCTCCCTTAGACAATCTTATGGTTGTGGTTAATCTTCAGAACTCCCTGGAAAATAGCTAAAAATGACTGTGTCTAGTAAAAGATGACTTCACCCAACTTCTTTCATGATTTTCTACAGAATATCCTGAAGTCTCTTTTGCATTAGATAACAGCATCATTAGAACACTTTGCTGTTTTAATTATGAATCAAAGCCAAAGTATTCACTACTTATCTACCTGATATTTTATATTTTAGGTTTGCATTTTGAAGCATTTAAATTATATGCTAAACTGTAGAGAAGATTCTCTGGGTTTAAAAGAGAAAACCAAATTTATAAAAAGCCATCCTCACTGGATGCAGTAGCACACACCTGTAATCTCGGCTACTCTGAAGGTTGAGGCAGAAGGATCACAGTTCAAGGTCAGCCTGGGCAACATAGCAAGACCATGCCTCAATACAAAAAATAAAAAGATGTAGCTTGGTAGCAGAGCACCCCTGAGTTCAATCCCAGTACCACATATAAAAAGCCATCTTTAACTTCATGAAAAGACAGGAGACTAGATATGTGTTCAGTTCTCTCTTACTTAGGGTCACCACAATGTACCATCCATCAGATCTTTCTCTTTATTTTTCTATTTAGTCATCCATTTATTTATTTTTTAAACAAAATTCAAAGTATCCTCTAAGCAGTTGAGTTGAAGAGTTTAAAAGAAATATTTCAAAATGCAAATCATGGAGACTATGACAAAAAAATCACATCATGAATAAAGTTGGCATCATATGAAGTGGTTGTTTTTTTTTTAATCTAATAAAGCCACCATTTTAAAAAAAGATAAAGAGATTCAGCAACTTGCGCAAAGGAACACTCAGTTTTCCAAGGAATAAAATAAAATAAAATAAGGAGATTGCAAGATGTTGCCTATTCTGCTGACACCAAAATAGATATTTGATAAATATTAATTTCTTTTATTTTACACTTAATTCAGATGCTGGTCATTTTTCACTAAATTTTTCTTCTTTTTTCTTTGGTCCATGGTTGTCACATAGAATTAAATATTGATGATTAAATAGACCCACTGACTGGGTCACAGAGATAAAAGATGCTGAATGCCCTGACTGCAAGTGAGCAGTTGACAGATGAATCCCAGTTCCTGGGGATTGTGCTTAAAAAAGATACACCTGCCTACAGGTGGTTAAGCAGAGATCCATTTCTATAGAAGAGACTGCCATAAATCAGAAAGAGATAAAAGCATTTAAAACCAACAAAGCAGGCAACATTTTTTTGAGTAATTGAGCCTCGTTTTAGAAAACAAGAAATGTCTGTGTTAGTCCTTGTCTTTCAAACATTATTCTCTGTTTGGTTAAGCTATACAAACACCAGGGCTCTGATGTAAGCAAGACTTTTCCTTTTTGTATGTTGTACATAAATGTCTTTAATCTTTTGAGTTAGGAATTTATTGGTTGAGTTTTCCTGAGTAAATTCAGCAAAGCTCTGAAATGTTTTTTTCTCCCAAAAGACATGAAGCAGGGAGGAGGCAGGGAAGGGTCAACGAAGCTCAAACCAGCAAACCAAACTGAAGAAGAAAGAAAAAAGGAGGGGGGGGGAGAGAGAGAGAGAGAGAGAGAGAGAGAGAGAGAGAGAGAGAGGGAGGGAGGGAGGGAGGGAGGGAGGGAGGGGGAGAGGGAGAGGGAGAGGAAGAGGAAGAAGAAGAAGAAGAGGAGGAGGAGGAGGAGGAGGAGGAGGAGGAAAGAGAAGAGAGGAGAAGAGAATTTTCTGGAAAAAGAGAGTAGGAGAGAAATCTAGTTGACTTTTAACCAGCTTGACCCTGGACTCAGGTGAATGTGCCTTGGTTCAGGTAGGGACAAAGCAACTTCAGTTGAGCTTACCAGTTGCAAATCAGTTTCCTCTTGGTACTCAACAACCAGCAAAACAAATCAACAACACAGTGGTGTAATGTCATGGTTGTGCTCAGGCCACTTACTCTGGTTCTTTCTACCAGTTCTCTGGTCAAGGCCACATCACAGTCTGTTGTTTCCCATGGTTGGCCCATGACTTGGGATTCACTCAAGTCTCCTCTTTCATGAGCTGGTGAAGACAGGAAGGAAGTGCTTCATGAGTTGGTTGGGGCCAAAGAGCAGATGTCAGAAGCAGCAGAGACTGCTTCTGGTTTCATTTTGATGCCCTCTTACACTTGTTCTGCTCCCAGCCTCTATCCCTGTACCTGTCTTTTCCAGTTCCAAGAAAAAAAAAATTATACAGAGTATCTGCAGAAGACAGTTGACCCTGTGATAGTTCTGCTTGATAATTTTAACCAAAAGAGTAAAAATTTAATGCTGACAATAGATGGAAAGATCTTACTTCACATGACTTTTGGAATTTTCAATTTTTCTAGGAATTTTCCAAGGATAACTATCTGTGAGATATAAGTCAAAGGACTCTAGTTGGCTGTAGTAGTTTGCTAGAGCTGCAGTAACAAATACAACAAACTAGAAAGCATATACAAGAGAATTAACTATCTGACAGTTTGGGAGGCTGAAGTCCATGATTTAGGTGTTGACTGGGTTGATTCCTTCTGAGGCCACAAGGAAAAAACTCTTCTATGCTTTTCCCTAACTTGTGGTCGTCTGCTGACAATGCCTGGTGTCCCATGGCTTCATGTTCATTGGCATGCTCCCTGTGTGTTACCTTAGCTTAATCAGGTAGATTTCCATTGATTGCGTTTCCATATGATGTCACATTCTGCATTACAGGGGGTTAGCAAATCAATCCTTAAATTGGGTTGGGAGAGACACACAATTCATCCAATAACATTGAGTATGTTGGTGTGTTTCTGTTGCATGTAGCAGCCTAAGTTTTCTTACCAGACAGCCCATCAGGAAAAATAACTTGGCTATACAATGAATGTGTAAGATTGGACACAAACTGTGAGTGTTGAGAGGGACGTAGGGTGATCAACTGTCCTGTTTGCCTTAAACTGATAAGATCCCTGGCATATAGAACTTAGGACTGAAACAGTGCAAGTCCTACACAAACCTCATGAGTTGATACTTTAGCAGGGGATCCTCTGATAACAAAAACATTTGCAAATCATCAATTCACATCATATTCACAATTGTGTTGTCAAACTCAC